AGGCGGGGGGGAAAGGAAAGTGAAACTTCCATCAGAAAGTCCCCTTCCAGGAGTTCCGCCTCTTGGGGGGAGGGGCAGAAATGGGGGGCTGGGAAAAGCAGATTATCTAGGCCTGGGGGGAGGGGCACTGGAGAGGGGGAGAGGAGATCCCGCAGAGACCCTCCCAACCACAGATCAGGGGGAGCTGCCAAAAAAAAAAAACACCATCGCAGTCAACAGAGGGATAACACCAAGATCACCAGAAGCGATAATGGCGGTTTATATTGCATTAGTGAAGCCACACTTGGAATGTTGTGTACAACTCTGGTCACCACGATACAAGAGAGATACTGAAACCCTGGAAAGTGTGCGGAGAGGAGTGACAAAACGATAAAGGGACTGGAGGCTAAACCGTAGGAAGAGACTGAGGGAGTATTTCTACCCCAGGGGTAGGCAACCTTGGCTCTTTTATGACTTGTGGACTTCAACTCCCAGAATTCCTGAGCCAGCTATGCTGGCTCAGGAATTCTGGGAGTTGAAGTCCACGAGTCATAAAAGAGCCAAGGTTGCCTACCCCTGTTCTAGCCTATCGCAAAGAAGGATGGGGGGGAGGACATGATAACTGTCTGTCATTACTTCAGGAGCTGTCCCAGAAAAGAGGGGATCGACTTCTTCTCCAAAGCCATGAGGGCAGGACAAGAAATAAGGGAAGGAAGCTGGTTACGGAGAGATCCAACCTAGAAGTAAGGAGAAGAAATTTTCTAAGAGTGAGAACATTTACTCAATGGAATAGTTTGCCTCCTAGAGTTGTGGGTGTTCTATCACTTGACGTGTTTAGAAATAGATTGGTCAACCTTTGGACCACAATGGTATAAAGTCTCCTGCCTTGAGCTGAGGGTTGGATTAGACTAGAAGACCTCTGAGGTCCCTCCCAGCCCGATGAATCTTATGTTCCAGGTGAAAAAACCCAAGTGATCTTCGCTCGGCATGAAAAGCTTTTGTTGTAATGAAATAGATGATTATGTAAAAGGATATTTCTTGTAATAATATTTGGTATTAGAGATGATAAATAGTTGGAGGGGTAAATTTTACTTAATTGATTGATAGAATATATATTTTAAAAAATAGAAATGTAGTTCTTTGGACTGATATCTTTATTTTAACTAAGATAACTATTTTGTAATAGAGGGAGAAGAGGTATTTGTGATAAGAGAAATAAGAGTATTAATAAATAATGTATTAGTTTAAGCAATAGGCTATATTTAAAAAAAAATGTAAGGATGTTGCTTTTTGGGATAATATATTTATTTTAGATAGAATCATCATGATAGGGAAAAGAGAAATGAGGGATGCCCGAAGTGTTAATATGTCTACATAAGCTAAATTGGAATATGGTAATTTCTAAAATAGTAAAGCTTAAAAACAGGACTTGGATTCTAATAATTGAAATGTGATTGATGACCGATTGGATTGATTGAGCTTTTTTTTTTACAAATGTAATAATTTTAATTGATAAAATAATATGTGGGAAACAGAGAGGGAACTTTTAAGGAATTAATCTGTGTGATATATGTATGATTTTGTTCTTGGATAATTGATAGCCCAATCACCACGTTGTTTCTTAAGCACTTTTATGTAAAAATGAAAAAACAATAAAATTTCTTTATTAAAAAAAAAAGCTTTTGTTGCATCTTCATGGTGTCTCGTCTTTCTAGAGGAAAAGGTCAGAGGTATCAAATATAGTACATAAATTCCCTATTTCCTTTTATTCTCTGGGGAAGACATGAATCTTTGGAAAGTTTCAAACTCTTCAGTTTTCCCAAAATAAACTAAGATGGCTGCTCTGTCCTTTGACGCTTCTTCTGGGGAATCGTAGGAGTAAAATAATAAATCTCTCTTCCGGTTATGATCATTGTTATTATCATGGCCAAATTTAGTCAATAATGAATTGATGCTCCTGCTTTTACACTTCCCAGGATGAGCAAAGTGTGAGTAAGTTGCAATGATTTCTTCAGGGCTTGAACCATATTCCGCTCTCTTCTGTAAAGTGAAATTGGTCTCTCTGAGCAGCAAGGAGGATAAAATCCCTCCTATTTTCAACCTCCCCAAACAGGCAGCAATTGAGGTGAGAAGAAAACAAAATCATTTATTTCAGCAAACAATTTTGGCAGACCTACAATATATGTGCAATTATTAAGGAGGTAGCATCCTGGCTGTGCAATCGATCTCATGTTCCATTTTTCAAAAGCATGAAAATCCATAAATGGCAATCTGGAAAAATTCAGTGTTTGAATGCTGTGCTTGGTGTATTAATTATTTGTCAAACTCTGGATGATCAAATATTTGGTCAACCTAGTTGAACGCTCAGAAATCTATTGCAACAAGAGATTAGTTCCCCCCCCCTGCAAAAGAGGTCAAAAATGTACAATGTTGCACATCTATTTGCAACCTAATTGACTGTCATAGATTACATAAGTCAGACATGTCAAACACAAGGCCCGCGTGAAGTGGTTTCATGTGGCCCGCGAAGCCAGCCTGGAAACAGTGAGGGAACGGCCCCCACTGCCTTGGCCGTGGCCCAGGCTACCCGGGAGCCAATGTACAATTTTGTGGTGGCCATCTATGCTGAAATGCATTCAGTCTTAGCTCCACAAGGCCGTCTGGAAACAGCGAGGAACCAGCCCCTGCCGTGTCGGCCCCGCCCCCTGGGTGCATGCTGGGGAGGTGTCACCCTTTGTGAGGAATGAAGAAATGCACCATGGCCTGGAAGTGGCCAGCAAATGGTCCTCGCCTACTTCGCATATCCGGCTTGATGGGCTCTGCCCTGGTCCCACCCCCTTCTGCCAGAGACCCTCAGATCTGTCCCACTCCTGCCCAGGCCCCCACAGGCACCCTTGACACGAATGATGTAGAGCTGGCCACGCCCACTCAGTGGGCCACACCCACTCCATCCATGCCCACCCAGTAGGCCGCACTTCCCCCCCCCCCAGGGCAACTGCAATGCTGATGCGGCCCTCAATGAAATTGAGTTTGACACCCCTGACATAAGTGGAAGGATAAATAGTTAATCAGTTGAACAACAGCAAAGTTAAAAATTCAAAGCACTCTTTAACAGTCTGTTATTATAATTTATTCATAGAAAGTCTACAAAGTTCCTTATTTGCTGCAAATCACCCCGATCATTATCTCTGAGTCCAGGGTCAAATACCTTCATTTGGTTCTTAACAGTGAAACCTTTCCATAGGTTTTTAATTAGGAACTTTACCAACAACTGCATCTCATTTCCAAACTTCATAAGTCTCTGTTGTAAGTATCTCTGCAACATCCGTTGTTGAATAATTGTCCTCAACAACACAGCATTTCTCTTGCCAAGAAGATCCAGTCCATCCTTCGTTCATATCTGTCGTCCCAGAGTTTCTTATATTCGTATTCTTTTCAATCTTTTGTGGCAAACCAAATACTTTCTTCTTTGCATCTAACCACAACAAATCAAATTTGGCCCAGTTCCTCAAATTGCAAATCTGGTCCAAGTGATATTTCCTGCATTTGGAAATCCTCTTGGCTTTGCAGAATTGCTCATTGAATTTTTTTGTTTATATTTTCAACAAGCAGTTGGAGAGCGTTCTTTTTTCAACTATCTCCCAAAATCATTTGTCTCCTTTTGAAGACATGAAAAACCCTTTTCGTTTTCTCTTCAAGGACAAGAGAAGCAGATAAACAGCAGCTTCCACAGAGAAAGGGTTTGTTCCCCCCCAGGGTTAAAGAAAGGGGAATTTTCCTATCAAAAATTAAGAGATAAATATCGAGACTCTTAAGAAAAAGAAAAAAGCTAGAAAGAGCAAGATTTATAGTATAATACTGTGTAAATGTAAATGTAAAATCCACTGCAACTTCCTTACAATTAAAATAATAATAATTTGAATTTAACGGTAAACAGTGAAAGAGGAGGAAAAAAGTTGTAAAAGTCCAGATTATAAAATAGCACAGAAGTGAACTAGTCATGAATCAAGAGATTGTAAAGCTTCAAAACGTGCAATTAAAACCCAGGTGTGCTTAAGAAAAAGGAGCAGCTGAAGGGAAAGGATGGCAAGAGATTAGACCTTCTGATCACTCCTTACCAAGAATTGCAGACATCCAGACCCTTTTCTTCTCTGTGCATGATCGTCCGAAGGTCATCTTGAGTCGTTCCTAGTTTTCCTTTCCAAAAACGGGGAGCAAAGCCACCAAATAACCAGCTTTGGTGGCAAAAATCAGCTTTTCAAGATGGGGGAGGGCTCCTGCTCCGTTTTTCTAAACCATGAAAATACATAAATGGCAATACATGGTACACATTATCTTTATACAACTAATATAAAGAAAAATAAGAAAAAAACTTCCACTTTCAATCCAGGCAGTTATAATGAAGATTAACAACTTATCTCTCTTCCTTAAAGTAAAACCAGCAACTCGTCATCCTATTCCTCTCCCGATTTGCTATGAACCCTTCTCCAAAACCTGTTAATCAGCACAAGCCTATTAAAGGTCATCAGAAGTAACAACGTAGCTGCAACAAGCTCTGTTACAAAGCTATTGCAAGGTATACAAGCCAGCTTGATCTAGTCGTTAAGGCACCAGGCTAGAAAGCGAATATGAGTTCAAGTCCTGCCTTAGCTTAGCCGTGAAAGCCAGCTGGGCGACCTTGGGCCAATCACTCTCTCTCCCAGCCCAACCCACCTCACAGGGTTCTTGTTGTGGGGAAAATAGGAGGAGGAAGGTGTGTTGGATATCTTCGATACCTTCGGCAGGATCCAAATAAAATAATAAAAAAATAAAATAAAATAAAATAAAATAAAATAAAATAAAATAAAATAAAATAAAATAAAATAAAATAAATAAATAAAATAAAATAATAAAATAAAATAAAATAAAATAAAATAAAATAAAAATAAAAATAAAATAAATAAAATAAATAAATAAATAAAATAAAATAAAATAAAATAATAAAATAAAATAAAATAAATTAAATAAAATAATAAAATAAAATAAAATAAAATAAAATAAAATAAAATAAATAAAATAAT